CACAGCATAAAACGCATAAAAAATTGGCACCAAATCAAATTCCGGAACAACGAAGAGAGTTGCTACAAGGCAACTAAAAATAAATCGAAGTGTCAGGAAAGGAGACAGATGAATGATCCTTGCAATTAGCACAAAACAAAACCTGAAACACCGGTATACTCATTACATTACCAACCTTAAGTGCCACAAGTACAGCGTGTGTATTGCTTTTCACTCCAACAGTGGCACTGCCCTGCTTCATCGCTTCCACTGCATAATCCACCTGGTGAAGTCGGCCCTGAAAAAAGCACTGCTTATAAACAAAAACAATAACTGACTGCGGGAAAAGAAGGGCCTGCTACCCGCCTCGGCACTAAAAATGAGGGAAGAAGAAGGACGACCTCTACGATTTCAGAAAGTAAAAGTTGAAAAAGTTCTGAAAAGCCGATTTTAGCAATTGGGTTGACCGTGGAAGTAACTAAATGGCGAAGGCGCGATAGATTATAGCATGAAAGAACAGTATGAGAAAAGAAGGTAAGAATGAGATAAGACGTTTCGGTCCTTTTAAGTCATATACGCCTTAACTCAACACCGCACGACAGAACTTCGTCAGTATGACAGTCGCAGTGCTTAATGGAAAAGGGAAAGAGAAAGACGGCAGGAAGAAAAAGGAGGGGAAACGATATGATTAGAGGATTAAGAGGGATAAGAGTGGGATGAAGAGGGAAAGGGAAAGGGAGGATGAAGAAAAGGATATTATTCAGAATCTTAAAGTAATCCATGCTGCTCCGGTAATTCATATGGAATTAGGAGTAAGGATGGGGTGAAAAGGATAAAGAAGGAGAAAGGAAAGGATTTTATCTAGAATCTGGAAGCAATTCATGCTGCCCCGGTAGTCGGGATCTTGCTCATTTCACAGAAAGGGGAGGGAGTTACACAGCACTTCATCATTTATTAAATTACGGCGCTAATTTACGATTTCTCTGTTCACATCGAGCGAAGAATCAGCAAAAGGGAAAGGGTTCAACATTAGAAACAATTAATTTCCCCAATTCTACACAATCCACAACAGGAAATTATCAGAAGTTGCAATATACCAAAAAAAAAAACCTCTTGAATAGTAAAACAGAGGGATTGGTCTTAAGTGTCATGTGTAAGAAGATATTTTACGCGATGTAACACTCTGTGTTTCATCCCTTAGCTGTAAACACAGATCGAACTTAAATTTAGCAAAGAAATAGTAGAATAGAGGGATTGGACTTAAGTGTCATGTGTAAGAAGACATTTTACGATGCAGTC